TACTTCCTTCCCAAATTAGTACTGCGTCCATGCCTGGATTTCCTGTTTGCGCCATTGCAGTCTTTAGTTCTGTTTTTAGTTTATGTTCTCAAAGGCACCATGATCCTGTTTTGTGTTTTAATGTTACTGTATAACCTGTGTGTCTGAATGCTGCTGTCTGTGTCTCTGTCCAGCCGTCTTTGGAAAAGGATAAGGTTACTCCCCAGACCCGACGTCGGTAAGCCCTTGTGGTGACGCATTGTAGCTGCTGCTTACAGGTGTGCAGAGGGACATGCATCACTGCTCAGACAGTCAGGTCACTTATACACCGTCTGCGTCAGCAGATACTCACTGTGTTTGTCCCACACTTTCCATGTTATGATGATGATGATGATCAACAGCAGCACCAATAATCCCAGTCCTATATATAGAAACACTGGACCAAAGAGCTGAATTAGAGGGTGGATCTGAACAGTAAAGTCTTACATGCTTTATAGTAACAGGACCTGTATCTGATGAGACCATCAAAGCTGAGTTATGTGATGTCTCCTTTACAGGTAATGATATTGTGGAAGTATGAAACTATAAAAGGCAATTATATAAAACAAAAAGTTGCCCCTGAGAGCTGATACTGATGCATGCACCAGGGAAAAGGGGTGAACAGGCTGGACCCGAGCAGTAGGGAGGTGCATCCGCCAAGGGATCAAGCACAAACTCTGCACACACCGATAACACAGCGTTATTTAGTGGGCAACTAAAAACACTGCCCTACAATTCAATGACATCCAACCCTCCCCCCTCAAACATGCGCTCCGCACACACCGATAACACAGCGTTATTTAATGGGCAACTAAAAACACTGCCCTACAATTCAATGGCATCCAACCCTCCCCCTCAAACAGCTGGCAGCGCAGATGAAATTAAACACAGGGCTACTGGTCAGGACACACGAATTAATCAATAATCAAAATCAAATATGAAATTAACGAATCCCAACACAATAAGATCAGCACAATACCGATAACATTACAAGGAATCACAAACATGGAGGTGAACATGTGCTGAAGCAGAAACCACAGCGAACGGGAGAGCAGAAACAGGCAGGAGCAGAAACAGGCAGGAGCAGAAGCAGGCAGGAGCAGAAACAGGCAGGAGCAGAAACAGGCAGGAGCAGAAACAAGAAGGAGCAGAGCAGCAGCGGCCAGCCTTGATTTCCAAATCCCTCCAGATAGTTGTTATTCCTACAACAGCAGCAAGACGCCAAGCGGCAGCTCACAGCTACTAAACTGCATAAAACGGTTCCCCAAACTAGCCTGCTCACTAGTCACAGCCAACCACCATCCAGAAGCAGCCAGGAAGCAGACAGCATGGAGGATCATCTCAAAAGTCTATGGACCCACGACTCACACTGCAACATCAGCAGCCGAATGACACCACTGGATCCCAGGTGTCAAAAAGAGGGACATCTCTCCAGACAAGCGGCCGGTGTATGCAGTCACCCCACCACGAGCACATGCTCAAACGGTGCCAAACTGCTCTCTTTATATCAACTGCAATAATTACAATCATGCAAAATAGGCACAGCAAAGACATTTC